TATTCAATCGACTGCAGGTGGCCACTCGGAGAAAAGGTACTTTCTACTTTCTTCGATTACTTAAATGAAGCTACCAGCTTCATCATTCCGTATATAGTGAATTACATTCTATTTTTCATATATACTAAACACTTTATTTAACTCCGCAAATCTTATAACTGAAGCACACTACTATTAGAAAAATGCTAAAGTTCATAATTAACGTAATCATCGATTTATGTGTGAGTTTTTATTGGGGGATTTGTTTAATAGTTTCTTGTATAACTCTATAGGCTGTGTAGTGATGGGTAAGGATATATAAAAAAAGCCCTCTGAATACCCTAAGCTCATTTTTAGTTTTCCGCCGTGCAGCCATACATGCCAATGGCGTCAAAAAGTTGGTTAGCAAAGTCAAGCAAAGTCAAGTCAATGACTGACTGGAAATCAAATCTGCTCCCCCTGAACCCAGGCCCAAACCCAAACCCAGTCCCGGACCACAAGGATGGCTACATTGGCGGGCGCAAAAGCGGGGCTGATGCTCGGAAAATTTCATAAATCAAAGTGCCGTCGGGAGGTGCGTGCAGCAGGACTCGAGTATCTGAAGGAGCGGCAGGATTCAATGCACGGCGCTGTAATTGCTTTATGCTCTGGAGCGTGATGCGGTCAACAACGCAACGTGAGCGAGACATTTTGATATGGTCGTAACTCCCATCTCCTGCGGCCCGCATTCTCGACCAACTAGTGAATTGGAAAAGCTGAAAAGTTTTACGATATTTTTTGGTTAGCTGGCTGCAGCCAGCCTTGCCTTGGGTTATGCCGTGCGGGCAGGACAAATTCCAGCTGGGCTTGAAAGCCGGGCATAACTTGTCTCATTGGGTCAGCAGACACGATACTTTTATCCGGAAACTTTGAGGCAACTATGCATTTCCATACGACATATTCCCAAAATATTGCTGACAAAGTGGCCAAGAGATAAGCGCTTGAAGTTATAAGCTTAGGATACCTGGTTATCGACAAAAAAGTCGTTCTCCAGATTTTTTAGTACCGTGTCTGACATTATCTACATTTCATTAAAATGAACTTTTATTCAGATGCATTATGATCTTTTTTTTTGGCGTTTTGGGCGGTTTTTGGCCGTTAGAGTGTCTTTTAAATTCTAAGCTCTTAACTTCCCGAGATACTCGCCCAGTGATTCCTATTATTTTAATATAATCATACCGATTCCGGTATAAATATATGTTTCGAGTAACTATTGAAACTAAGCTAACTATTGAAAACAAATTAGGTAAAAACAACAAATAATTTGTTGCTTTTTTAATAAAGCAAACTATGTATTACAACTTTCCTTCACTCGCAAATTTTCACGACATTTTCCCCATGCTCTGCTGCGAGCTGCTATTATAAAATTACCCTGGCAGAAACTTTAAAATTGCATGGGAGCGAGTAATAAATTATGCCCTGCGTTATGTTTTATGCGGCCCCTAAAAAATGATGTATATGCGGATGATAAAAAGTAGATTGCTAAACATCAAGCGAAACACCTTTCGGCCAGAGTGCATCGCACTCGAATGTCAAAGCTAATAAGCAGAGCTTCAGCGGAAATATTTTTCCCGAGGGAAAACTGTCGCCGTCCATTTTCCCTTTTTGCCGGCTGTTCTATTTCGTGGCAGATTTATGGGCAGGTATAAAGCAGAGGAGACGACGTTGAGGCTTGGCAGGTGTGAAAGTTTAGTGCCCACATGTGGGTGTGGCTCCCTATTTTCGCCTCTTCAGTGTTGCAGGATTATGAAGACAACAAAAGCTGCATACTTTGCGAGTGGCTCTAATTAATGAAAGACTTTGCTGTTACCCTTCTGCCACTGTCAATGCATAAAGAAATTTTGCTAATTAAAAATAATCGCAATAGCAGGGCGGCACTGCAACTTTGTCTTTGCCTCGGAAAAGCCACCCCGCACTCTTCTCCTATTCTGCCCAGGGGAAAATTTGCGAACTGGTCGGCCATTTCTTGTGATTATTTTAACAACTTGGCCATGTTGCTGCACTCACTGAGGACACGAGGAGCCATTTGCACCATTGACACTCAAAAAAACGTAGTGAATACTTTGAGCAGAGCATTTACACTTAATATAAAGTTAATGAAAGTTTATTCAAGTTTAGCAATGTGCAATTTATTGCCACTTTAGCTTGTCTATGTATTTTGCATACATTTCTATGGCTGCCATCAGCCTAGGTTCCAGTTCCAGTTTTTTAATCCCCGAGGGATTACTTCGTATTTGAAATTGAAATAGGCAAACTTTTTTCTCTCTGCAAAAGTCGTAGAAATGCTCGCGGGCTGCAAGTAATTGTCTCTGGCTCGTTGCTTTGGATTTGGATCCGGATTTGGCGGCTTTGGCTGGCAACATCATTAAATGTGTATATAATGGAATTGCTGTGATTTGTACCAAGCGGAAGATTTATTATCGCCCTGCCATTTTCCAGGCGAAAAAATCGGCATTATGTTCCGCATGCCTGGTGACAAAGTGCAGCCAGAGGACGGCTTTCATTTTCTGTTTCTGCACAGCAATCGGGTCGTTTACATAAACACTTTGGAAATTTATTACTCTTGGTTGGCGTGTGTGTCTGTCAATGGCAAAAGTTTGTGCATTTCATTTGTGCAAAATTTGCTTACAACTCAAATGAATTAACCTGATGACTCAGTGGAATGTGGGGCGGTGTTCCACCGAATGGTTTCGACCGAATTCCGGCGGATTACTTAGAACTCATTGCGATGGAGTCTTCGGGTTGTAGGAATCCTCATCCGAAACGCCATAGTTGTCGTGCTGGCTGAGCCATATGCCAACTCATTTGCATTGAAAGTTTTTCCCTTTCACAAGTTTGCTGTGAACATATGCTCGAAACCCTATTAGGTCTTCATCAAATTAAAATATGTCGGCCTCGACGAGAATAATGCTCGGAGCCAGGGCTGAAATTAATTGCCTGCAAAACTATACAGAAGTCATCCTGGGACTTCCTCAACTGGAGAAGAAGGTGCGCAATTTCGCAGTCATCAAATAAATTAAAACTTGATGGCCATGGACCCACTAACAATGAAGGAAGCTGCAAAGTCTCAAAAGTCTCAGTTGAGTTGCTCAAACATCTGTGCAAATTTGTGTGGGTTTGACAGAGATTATGTCTGGATTGCTGGATTTAGGGATACTGGAGCGAGAGCTTGGCAAAATGAAATACTTGTGCATAAGTCAAATTGTTTCACTCTGACAGGAGTGTAGTTACTGTCCACCAGTAACTAAAATAATTGCCCAATGAACATATACACGTATAGTTTAAAATATTGCCAAGCTTATCTGTATGGATATGGACTCGCCATCAGGCCCGAAATTAATTTTCAGGCTTGGTTCAATGTCAATTCGAAGTGGCGTACAATTACACTCGTAATCCGCTGGCATGTGGCATTAAATCTTGTTGTTTGCACTCCCGTTGACAAAGGACCACTTTCAATGTTTGTATTTATGTTTTAAATGGCGGCGAACAAATGCTATTAAATAAAATCCGCTATCTTTCAATGCAGTTAGCGGGAGTTAGTTGCAGATTGTGTTAGTTTTCGATATTTCCGCATTGTGCGCCCAGATTTGGCCATCCACTCTGTTATTTGGCCATCTCCGCGTTGGCAGGTTGCGTTGGCATCTAATATCTTTTACGTGATCCGTCTGCTAATTAATGTCCTTCGTCGGGCGGGCGGTGAAATAAATTGGATTTGTTGTTAACATTTTAGTCACTGTTTTGTCATTACGCGCTGTGGGAAAGCTGCCATCAATTTTGTGGCGCCAGAATGACGGCTGGGACAAAAAGCCAAGGGAAAACACAACAAATTCGATGAGCACTTTAAAGGGAAGTCGACCTGTCTCGGCTTTAATAATCCCATTGCGTGATCAAACTTCAGCCAGCCAATTGCTGGCTACTTATGCCCATAAATAGTTCATTGCATTTCCATTAGGCACTTTGCGGCAATCCGGACGACTGTTCGTTGACCTAATGTGTGCAATTCATTATCTGCAATTAGAGTTCAATTCACAGGCTCCGCCTGGTCAAAGTTCAAGGATCGGCTAGGCCGGCCTCTTGAGGCCATAACACATCATTAATGGGCTCTGCGGCCGGTTGCCAAAGAAAAGTGTAACAATAATGGGCTCGTTTGTTTTCATTGCACACGTGCCGGAGCCCCGACTTTGGTCAAATGTGCTCTTAATAGACCCAGCGTTTTGGCCATGTTTTTGCTGGGCAAACATGGGCCAACTCTCCCGTTGGCGGCAGCTTCTATTCCCCCTTCTGTGGGCCACTCTTGTGGTCCGCCCGATGGCTCTGTTCCGTCAACTCGGGCGGCTCAAAAAATGAAATTAAATGCGCGAATGCATGTTTAATGGCGCGCAAATGTGTGGAATCTTTTTGAGTTTAATTTGCGACCACACCTGGATAATGGGTGCAAATTTGGGTAGATTAGCAGTCACACTACTGCTCATGGATAGAATGCATACATAAATTTATGGAAGTTCGAATAGAGCCACTGTTTGTCGTTCATTTTATTAGAGACATTATTTTTCCAAGCGTTATCCAATCCCACTGGGAACATTTGAGTTCGCAACTCCAACTCTTGCAAATGTTTTTTACAATGGATATCCTTTAGCATAATTGCATGCATATTGGCTGCATTAATTGCATGTGATATTATTACAGAGATTTTTTGCCTTTATTCCACGCCTCTTTGAACCAGTCTGATTGTTGAATTAAAAAATTAATGAATGATTTTTGAAATGGCAATGTGAATTGCTCTGTAAATAACAGGCAGCATGACCTCTTTCCAGATATCGTTTGATGAATCCCCATGATATTCTCGGCTGTTTCCATGTGTATTTATTAACACCAGCGGCTTAAAAGGGGAATTCCCGAAGGATGAAAATGCTGTTGACGGTGACAACTCTGCGGCTTATTTATTAAAGCGTTAATTGTCGAATCAAAGTAGACCCCGCATAAATAAGCCATTTCACATATCTCGAATATCTCGAATTTCCCAAGCGCAGTGTCAAATTTTCAACATGTCGATATCGAGCGTTCAGACCATTCAATCGAACACCTCAGCGGCGGATGTCCTGCGGGGTAGAAAAATTCCAGTTCATCGCCTCAGCTCGAAGCTGGTGGCCAAGGCACAGGACAAGGCTAAGAAGGTGGAGGAATTCCTGACCAGGGTCAAGTCCACTTCGATGATTTCCTTGTCAGGACTTGCTACCCGCTACGAATCCAATTGCCTTCAGGAGCTCAACGAGTGGTATGAGCCGAGGATCAAGTTCTACGACGAGGTCGATGCCAGCTTGCATCCCAGCTACGAAATAAAGCATTTCCAATAGTCGGTGAAGAAAGAAAGTATTGAGATACATACGTTTTCTGACACGCCCATATTTACAGCGATCTTAATTGCTATGTACGGTATCTGGACGCCAAGGAGAAATATGACAGGCAGTTCCTTCAGGAAATGGAGCACTTCATTGCGAATCAACGCAATATCTGCGACCAGTTCTTTCTGAAGAAGTAAGCTAAAAGTTGGAAATAAGAACATAAACATAGGTTTATACTTTCGTGGCTTTTCTAGAATCCTGTGCTATAAAACACTGTGGCCGCCACTGCATACAAAGCGGGAATTAAATAACTTTGTCTCAAAATTCTTTCAAATGACTACCAAGCAAAAACGTCGCGTCGAGTATCTGTTGAAAACGGATTTAAGTCTGGGTTGCTAGAACTTATCAAATTGCAAAATAAATGAGGCTTTTTATTCCGCTTGGAAACGGTTTAAGTAGCACATTTAATTTTGCAATTATTCTGTGCAAAAATTATGAAATTACTCTATGAAATATTGTACAGCCAATAAATTAAACTATGCAATTAAAGCCTTTTTATTATTCGAATGTGAAATTAGTGGGCTAACAAATTGGCTGGCCTACGTAAAAAGAGAATTTTGAAATGTAAGAAAATGTGTGTTATTTTATGTTTGCCTATTTAATTTTAATGAGATCACGTTTTCAAAAAAGCTTAGTTGCTCGGACAGTAACTAAATAGTTTTGAATAAAATCCGCATTTGTTTTATTTTTCCACTAAATTACATTTAAACGACCTGCCGTTTGTGCATATTAAATATTTGAGCTGCGCTCATAAATAAATTCAAACAATGAATTATTGCATTGTTGAACTGTGTAACTGTGTAACTGTGTGAGCATTTTCATGTTTAAAAGCGATGCAATTGTTTCCACCTTTTTTTACAAGTTACCGATAGGGACAAATGTGTGCGTTTGTGTTTGTGTGCGTTGACAGGAAGTGCGTCATTTGTCAAATGCTATTTTATGGCTATTTTTTAGCCGTTGAGTGGAGTTGAGTTTTGTTTGCGCCGTGTATACACCTGAAAAAGACCAACTTTACAAATGTTTACGCAGTGAACAATGGCCAGAAACGTCATGCGAATTTGCTCTTTAATTCAGTTATGCCCTTGGCTGAATTTCTTCTTTAAAATTAATCAAATAACGTTGCGATTTATTGTTTGGTTTTCGCATAGGCCACAAAAAATAAACAATCATGAATAATTGGTCAGCCGTAGGTAACTTGCAAAGGTTTCACAGTTTTAAATCGGAGCTGTGTATGCAGTCAGGCCTGTCATTAAATCAAATATTGGTTTTGAATGTGACTTATCAATTTACAGGCATTAGACAGGAACACAGGAGTATTTTTCACTCCAATTCACACATCGGCCGATATTAAATTAAAAACTGAGGGAACTCCTTGTTTCCTTTTCGGTGCCCCCGACACTTGGACACTGCCATCCCATAGACGCTGATGCATGCTCGAGTGGGCTTTCAACCTCGATGGCCAACTTCAATTAATGCCAAAGCTCGACCGATTTTAAAGCCGGCTGCGGGAAGAAAGCCCTCGCAAGGGTAAAAAATCACAGTGAAGCTCTGGCATCCGCAGCTCACAGCTATAAATTATAATTTCCGCATGCTGAGCTGCCCCATGCCACACCATACAGCCAATGGCCTGACCATCGTCCGGTCAGTCCCGGTTTTATGATGCTTATGGAAAAAATTCCTGCCACTGCATGGCTGCAAGGTGTGCGCCAATTTCCGGCACATGTGAGCGTGTCCGTGTCTGCGCGCTCTCTCTTTTTGATACATATAATTTTAAAAATGTTTGGCCGACACCCGTGTCCGTGCCCATACATACATATGTTGCCAGAATAGCCGGAGAAAAAATTATAATTAATAGTGCTCGAAAAGAGTGTCGGAAAGGGACATAAAAAACAAACTTATGCATAACTTAAAGTCGCAGCCTGTCCCCATTTATATTACACATACGCACTGTGTAACCAGTAGCTCAACGGGATTTGGACTACTACTTCGGCTCAGCGGTGCGCTCAGCAGAGTTTTATTATTATTACCCGACCCTAAATTTATATGGATTATACATTTGCATGTTAATACATATTTGCTGTTTTGTCAAATCAATGGAAGTCGATGGGATTGTTTAATATTCATTGATTACTCCCAGGGAAATGGTTATTCTGTAAATCATACCAAATGGTGTGATAGCCATTTGCTTTTATTCGCTGAACATGATACATGATCAACATTAAACACGCCCAAAGAACAAGCATTAGCATTTCTATTTCTATACCGCATACGCACTGGTAACCCTCGTTTGAGTAGACATTGGACTTAAACAAGGTGCAAATCGCGACCTTTCAGACATCGTATCCCCCGTTTAGCTTCAACCTTTTGGCAATACCCTCCGGTTTTTACGCCGCGCAGCCAATTTCCCAGCATTCACGTAGCGCTCCTTTATTTCTGCCCCCTGCCCTTCGCACAAACCCACTTGCCGGGGTAATGAATGTTGTTTGTTTGTGCAACATATTTAAGAACAAGTAGCAATGCTGAGCAATCATTGCTTGCCAACTCGTTTGTTTTGTTGACTGGGGTATTTGCACTGGGTGAAGCAGTTTGCCTTGGGGCAAGTATGATTAAGTCCTGCTGGGGACTTGAGTGTAAGTGATGTACATCTTGAATATTTGGTGCGCTCTTAAGTGCTTGGCTGGTGTTTTCTCATGCCTTCTGTTGTATTATTCAATGTGATCGAGTCTAATTATTTGATGTTTTGTAAAAATAACTCAAACTTCAAGCTCAGGTCCAATCAGACGTTTAAAAACTTGTTCCACCAGGTCAAATTTTTAACTCTTCTTTAAAAGGCGCAGTGTTTAATAAATGCTTAATAACTATAAATATTCATATATTCGTATATTTGTGTTGCTTCCGCATGATTGCGCTGCTCCACATGAATATTTTTTTAAAAATGCAATAGCTGTAGTAAGAAATTTCCTGCGATTTCCTTGATTTTGAAGTCCATAACTTCCGACATCAAGATTTCGTGGCGCACACATAAGCACTCACCAACACAGCCACAAACCGTGTATCTGTGTGTGTGTGTGTGTGTGTGTGCTTGTGGTCCTTGCGCGCTGGTCGTAACTTCCGCTCAGAACGCACACCACTTGAATTTTGTGTGGCATTGCAAAATGCATTTTATACGCAATAAAAATACACTTACGGGGTTTTTTACAGCTTGCTCGCTTTGAGGCTGTCCGCCGCCACGCCCCCACATCCGCCCACTCCGCTTTCTCAGGCGATTTCATTTCTTTCGGCGCCGTTTTTCTACTATAATATTTCCTACTTACAAAATAAAAACGAAAAGTCAGTTGGTCTGCCAGTGGCTTGTTTGTGTTGTGTTCGTTGGTTAAGGAAATTTAATGAGCTACTTAATGCTGTTGTGGTGCACTTCCTACTGGAACCCAACCCATCCTCTCGCCCTACGCTCTACGCGTTTAACAAGTCGGTTGTTAAATAAATTTAAATTATATTGTCGCTCCCTTTACAAGCCGTTTCTGCGACTCGGTGGTCATTCCTTGCCACACAAGCCCATTTTTTTTCGCCCGCGCTGAAAAAGTGTGTGCCACAAGTTTATTAATACTTGCCCTGCCGACGAACACTTAATCATCCCAATGCTCCGAGAGGATGGGCGCGGCTCCTGTAAAATATCGACAAGGAAGTGAAAGGATCTCGGGGAGAAACGAATGCCGAAAATAAACACAAATAAATTGCCTCATCATCGCATTTACCTGGCGGCCATATTTTAGCCCAAATGATTCGAAACTTTTGAGCCGACAAGAAGGCCTGTAATGCTTGTGAGAAACCGCAAAATGTTGCTCTCGAGTATGAAAATTTAATCAAACATTTTAAGGACGCCAGTGCGGTTTCGACATCGGGAGCCTGAGCCCATAGTTCCTGCATAGAAGGAGTTTTTAAATTTCCCATGTTCAGCAAAATGTTTTTGGAGTATTTTCAGGCATTCTGTTTGAGTTGCCTGCAAACGGCTGAAATGGCAAGTTCAAATTTTATTTAGTCCAGCTCTCAGAGTTGCAAGACAAAAGGCAAGCTGAAGCGACAAATTACATTTTTCCAGATGAAACTAAAAAGTCTGCACAGAAGGGGTCACTTTGAGTCTCAATAAGGGCATACTAAGCCCTTTGCCGTTTGATTGGCAGCTTGTTTGAAACTTGTGGTCTCAAATTGCCAGAAGGGGCGCCCAATTCTAATAGAAAATGGCCAGAGTGCCCTTGGTTATTCCGCAAGTGGATAGTTTGAACCCATTTGATTGCTGTTTCGAATTAATTGTAGCATTCATTATTCGGGACCCAATAAGCATAATAGGAGCACAATCAGCAGACATAAAAATCAACTGTCCTTTGGCATTTCATATGTGTTTGCCCTGCCAATTGCCAATGCACAGCATGCAAAATTGGAAATGCAAATGCTAAGTAAATAATGTCATTGCAAAAACGGCAAATGCAAACAGCAAACGGCAAACGGCAACGGCAAACGGCAACGGCAAATGATGTGGCCAAGCCAGAATCGGCGGTAACAATCAGCAGGCCAGGCGCAAATCGCATTAGCCCGCTCCCGTGGCCTTCGAGTCCACCCACAGCAGTAATCAAATGTGAAGCAGTGGCATCCACTGTAAATGGACTCGACAAAATGCATTTTCAATACTCGATTGCTGGCTAACACGACCAAATTTAGCGATTGCTTTAATTCTACTGCTCTTCGCCCGTGCAAATATTCCAAAATGCATAGATTTTCGAGCAATTGAAGGCCATTCAAAAGCGCGCGGGAGCCGCCAAATCGACTTTGGCATTTGTGACGAGCGCATCCTGGCCAAAGTCATAAATTGCGCTAAAATCGTGAATCGTTCTGGGTGGCTTGGGCTTTGGTATCGGTTTGTTTGGTGGGTTTGGGCTAGGGCTCGCGCTGTGACAGTGTGCCAGTTGCCAGTTGCCAGTTTGCCCATGCATGTTAAATGAAATTATTGCAACTTTTTGCCCGGGCCACATGGCGTATGCGCAACTCTCGCTCAATTCATCAATCACCGAATTTGTCCGATGCTCATGCTTTCTGCTCGCTAAAAAACGGTTTAGATTTATGCGGCTGTTGCCGCAGTCCAGTTATTTTTTATTTTTGCGTGCAACAACTTTCTGTTTGTTTTAAGTTCTTTTCGCTTTTCGCTTTCATTGCGCGCAGCACACTACATTTCATTTTGGCCACTTAAGCCCGAATTTCGTTTCAGCCCAGCAAGCGGGGCAAGTATTTTTCTTGTAAATCGTCGGCATTTAATCCAATTTTGTGTTCTGCCGCTTTGGTCTGTGCACTATGGAAACCATCAGCGTGGTAAGTGTTATTTTACTCGATTGATTATAAGGAGGAAATTCAAGTTAAATAGCTATGCTACATATGATATATAATATACAATTCTATTCGACTGAATTTGATGAGCACATTCACTTAAAAAACCC